TTTTCTATGATCTGTTCGATATCGAAACAGTGGTGGTGTTGGCGGGGGCAATGTCCGCCTTTGGAACTGATTCACACATAGCATTGTTCAATCAACGTGATCAAACTTGATGCTCACGTACATTCGGAGGCAGGATCTCATGTGACGCGTTCATAACCTCTTCGTAAGTTGGCGGAGGTGACTCGGGCTGAGCGCTGACTTCACTGTATGCAGGGGGTCCACCTTCGGCGATGGGATCTGGGATTTGAACACCAGACTCTTCATCTCCTTGTAAATTTGAACTCGTTTGCAACCTGTCAACCTCTCCATTCTGCCGTAGAGTTGTTCCTCCGGTAGCTCTGTAAGTTAAACTGTTCCCTGAGGCTCTGTTATGCTGATCTGAACGACGTTTCTGTTTCATGCAACAGCAAACCAGAAACAGGAGGGCCCCAAGGCCAACAATTACAGCGATGAGTGTGGTAATGTTTAACTCGGATTCCGCTGAATCTTCATCCCAAATACAATGCCCGTCATCACAGATATATCCTTGATGGCACTGGCTAGTAAAGCTGCATGCTGTAGTACAGATATTGTTATAAATGTCGCATATGTCTGGCGCAGAACAGTCGTTACGGTCGTCACAAAAGTCATAGCAATTCACATGATTAACGCACGAACCCTTTCCTTCAAAATGTCCGACTTTACAGCAGCGTTCTCTACCGTAACAGTCGCTGTCAGAAGAACACGCTGAAGTCCAGTGTACGTTCAGAAAACTGCAAAGAATCGGCAACAACACAGCAATTCCTTCCATATTGCTGAAGCCACTCGAGTGTGCTTAAACTTTATTTACTCTTCGCGCGGTTGCGCAGTTTAGCTGTTTTATTACGGAATTAATTGTTACGCGTATATCAACTTAGAATTTTGTTGACAAAAGAGCGCGTTTTAAGGGGGTGTAAAGGCTTCAATATACGAAAAAACTTTTTCACTTTTAGGTTAGCGAACAGAACTCAATATAAAAGAACATTTCTATCTAAATACTGTTTGTAAATACGCGTGATTGCGTGACGGAAAGGACTTCGTGATCTCGTAACAATCAATTTATCAACCTTCGAACAGTAAAAACAATGAACTCCTAAAAAGTTAATATTATAGCTAATTTTATACAGTTTCACTAAAAAGTAAATCATTTTTTTGGCACAATATCGATTTTTTTCATTACTTTATGAGCATGTTTCCTGTAATCATCTCTGGAAAGTTTTTACTGAGATACTATCACGTTCGTTGGAATAAAAAGGTCTGTATAAAACTTGGGCATTTGTTACCATCATATTATCACGATTGTAAACTATTTAAAAAAAAA